GTTGTTTGAACTTCTGCTCTGATGTTTCATTTTGTTGCTCAGGTGAGGAAGAAGTTATCCACATGACCAACCCTGACCCTACATGACCAACCCTGACCTTACATGACCAACCCTGACCTTACATGACCAACCCTGACCCTACATGACCAACCCTGACCTTACATGACCAACTCTGACCTTACATGACCAACCCTGACCCTACATGACCAACCCTGACCTTACATGACCAACTCTGACCTTACATGACCAACTCTGACCCTACATGACCAACTCTGACCCTACATGACCAACCCTGACCTTACATGACCAACTCTGACCCTACATGACCAACTCTGACCCTACATGACCAACCCTGACCTTACATGACCAACTCTGACCCTACATGACCAACTCTGACCTTACATGACCAACCCTGACCCTACATGACCAACCCTGACCTTACATGACCAACTCTGACCTTACATGACCAACTCTGACCCTACATGACCAACCCTGACCTTACATGACCAACTCTGACCTTACATGACCAACTCTGACCCTACATGACCAACTCTGACCCTACATGACCAACCCTGACCTTACATGACCAACTCTGACCCTACATGACCAACTCTGACCTTACATGACCAACCCTGACCCTACATGACCAACCCTGACCTTACATGACCAACTCTGACCTTACATGACCAACCCTGACCCTACATGACCAACCCTGACCCTACATGACCAACCCTGACCTTACATGACCAACCCTGACCTTACATGACCAACTCTGACCTTACATGACCAACCCTGACCCTACATGACCAACCCTGACCCTACATGACCAACCCTGACCTTACATGACCAACTCTGACCTTACATGACCAACCCTGACCTTACATGACCAACTCTGACCTTACATGACCAACTCTGACCCTACATGACCAACCCTGACCTTACATGACCAACTCTGACCTTACATGACCAACCCTGACCTTACATGACCAACTCTGACCTTACATGACCAACTCTGACCTTACATGACCAACTCTGACCTTACATGACCAACTCTGACCTTAACCCCAAGTGTTTTCAAGCTTTACTGTCCACTCCTAAGATGGTAACATCCAACCATCCAAGCTTCATCCAATAAATGCTTCCAAATCTTATGATGCCATAACTACCAGATCAACCAATATAGAACATGTTTCCCTCGGTGGGATCCATGGGTGTTAGGGTTAGGGTTAGCTGTAGAGGTGCTAGTGGAAAAGACTCAGATCAGACAGGACTCACAACAAGATCAGTCGTCGTTGTCGACAAAATGTGAGAGTAACATGCTGGAGACACAAAAAAAAATCAGGGACACTTTCACCTTGGAGAACACAAAATGTAATAAATATGAAGACTATAGTTGAAACATTTCCTGTCCAGGTGAGCTTTACTGACCTGGGAGTAGCAGGCAGTGAAGCAGCTGAAGATAGTTGAAGGTTCCAGTCTGGTGGTTGCTGAGGCAGAAACTCGGGCGTGGGAGGAGTTAGGGAGGCCCTGGAGAAAGGCTTCAAGGCGTGCAGAAGTCTTTCTCCAGGGTAACAGTGCCCCTGTTCAAAAAGGGGGACCGGAGGCTGTGCTCCAATTAGAGAGCGGTCTCACTCTAAAGCCTCCCTGGCCAGGTCTATTCAGGGGTTCTGGAGAGGAGGGTTCGTCGGATAGCTGAACCTCGGATTCAGGAAGAGCAGTGTGGTTCTGGTTCTGGTCGTGGAACACTGGACCAGCTCTACACCCTCAGAGGGTCCTGGAGGGTTCTGGGAGTTCACCCAACCGGTCTACAGGTGTTTGATGGACTTGCAGAAGGCGCAAGAAATACAAGAATTTTGCTCTTTGCCAGAGTCTCAAGCTGATCTGTTTCACACAGATTAGATTTTTTTTTTCCACACTGTGTCTCTCGGGGAGCCCTGCGGGGGGTTTCTGGGAGTATGGGGTCCCTGGATGACCGGTGTCAGAGTCTGGTCTGCATTGCCGGCAGTTCGTTGGGCTCGTTTCCGGTGAGAGTTGGACTCATTACTGATTCATTACTTTCACGGACAGAATCTATAGAGCAGCTGAGGTGATGAGGGGATCCAATTCGGTGACCTTAGGATCCACCTCTGCTTTTTGCGGATGATGTGGTCCTGTTGGCGTCATCGGGTCGTGACCTGCAGGTTTCACTGGAGCGGTTCGCAGCCGAGTGTGAAGCGGCCAGGATGAGGATCAGTGCCTCCAAGTCCGAGGCCATGGTCTGGAGGAAAAGGGTAGAGTGCCTCCTCTGGGTCGCTTTGTCCGGGTAAGAAAACATTTTATGAAAAGTGAAAAATAAATTTACACATTTGGTGATCTTTATGGTATGAAAAGATTTTTAGAATTATAAATAAATCCATTGTTTAACCATTTTTAAGTCAATACAATCTCAATACAAGTGGAGGAGTTCAAGTTTCTCAGGATCTTGTTGACAAATGAGGAAGCAATCGCTTCGGGCCCCAGGGGCCCCAGGGGCCCCAGGGGCCCCAGGGCCACTAAGAGGAGCTGATTTTTCTTTTTTTAGTAATAATTTCTGTCATTATAATATGAACGCAGAATTTCACTATGAATGATCTTTTTTCACAATAATATACGTTTGATGCTGTATGTAGAAATTATTGTATTGACAAAAAGAAAAAAATGAATTGCTCTAGGGGCCCCTGGTGGCTGCGGTAGGTACCGCACGCTTATGAAAACATGAGCTGCATCCAAAGGTCTGAAGCTGCAGTCAGAAAAATAATGTCTCAAAATAGGGAGGGAGAAAAGGAAGAGGAAGAACAGAAAGACTCTAGATAAACGTTTGTTTCGATGAGCCTTTATAATGTAAAGATAATAAAGCTGCTAACAGAAATGACCTCGACGACCCGGACCGGTCCAGTTCTGCAACATTAAAGCTGCGTCTTTTAAACGTTAATGAGTTGATTCTCCTGGTGGATATTTCTGAGGTATTTTGGCTCAAACTGTTTGATGAGGTTTGACATGAATAATTAAAACTGATCAGATTCTGATATTGTCCAGCTAAATGTTGAGACGTCAGGCTGAGCTGCTGCAGGCTGAGCTGCTGCAGGCTGAGCTGCTGCAGGCTGAGCTGCTGCAGGCTGAGCTGCTGCAGGCTGAGCTGCTGCAGGCTGAGCTGCTGCAGGCTGCAGGCTGAGCTGCTGCAGGCTGAGCTGCTGCAGGCTGAGCTGCTGCAGGCTGCAGGCTGAGCTGCTGCAGGCTGAGCTGCTGCAGGATGAGCTGCTGCAGGCTGAGCTGCTGCAGGATGAGCTGCTGCAGGCTGAGCTGCTGCAGGCTGCAGGCTGAGCTGCTGCAGGCTGAGCTGCTGCAGGCTGAGCTGCTGCAGGCTGAGCTGCTGCAGGCTGAGCTGCTGCAGGCTGAGCTGCTGCAGGCTGCAGGCTGAGCTGCTGCAGGCTGAGCTGCTGCAGGCTGAGCTGCTGCAGGCTGCAGGCTGAGCTGCTGCAGGCTGAGCTGCTGCAGGCAGATCTGCTGCAGGATGAGCTGCTGCAGGCTGAGCTGCTGCAGGCTGAGCTGCTGCAGGCAGATCTGCTGCAGGCTGAGCTGCTGCAGGCTGAGCTGCTGCAGGCAGATCTGCTGCAGGCTGAGCTGCTGCAGGCAGATCTGCTGCAGGCTGAGCTGCTGCAGGCTGCTGCAGGCTGAGCTGCTGCAGGCTGAGCTGCTGCAGGCTGAGCTGCTGCAGGCTGAGCTGCTGCAGGATGAGCTGCTGCAGGCTGCTGCAGGCTGCAGGATGAGCTGCTGTAGGCTGCTGCAGCTGATTTGCTGTTTGCTGCTCAGCAACAAACATTATTTTACATCAACTTCTAAGTTTTGAAAAACTTCAATTAAAATCATCTGAAGGCTCAGAACCGACCCGGTACCAGAACCGGTACCGGTCCACATTCCAGGGGAGAAAGACTCACCTGGTATAAATTAGATTTTAGCTATTGGAGCTGAAGAGAAATGAATTGAATGTGTTTCTGCAGCGATTGCAGTTTTCTGGCCGATTCCTGGTTCTGACCTTTGACCTGCTGATTTTGGCTCATATGAATTTATTGAGTCTGAAATGTTTCTGAATGTAGCAGCAAAGTCTCTGAGTTGCTAACAGTGTGTAAAATTCAGCTTGATTAAAGCAGAACTCACAAAAACACAGGAGGAGGATCTAGTCTCAGGAAAACAGGTAATAAGTGTTACAAGGTTAATTTGATAAAAAAACAGAAATATTCAACCACTCAATATGAAATCAATAGATTTTTACCAACAATAATTTATTTAGAAAACTCCAAATTAAATGCTTAATAATAGTTATCCCCATACCTAAATCATTAAACCCTCCAAAATAATCAGATCAATAATCTATGTTTGTAAATTTGATTATGATTTAGTCACCAGCCATCAACCTCACTGCACATCACTGGAGGAACAGCATCTGATGGGTTAGAGTTAGATCCGGTCCGGTCCGGTCCGACCTGAAACCCGCCACATTCATGGTTTCATTTAGCAGCAGCAGCAAACACCAACTCTGTCCTGCAGCGAACAACATGGCCACTTTCATAACAATATTTTATTCAAATGTATCAAACAGCATTACTGAACTGCTTTTACATCCAAAATAAATATTTCACAAATAGTCGATTGTTTCAACTAGTCATGGATCCTTTCCGCCTCGTTTGCTGCAGCGTTTGTTCAACAGGAAGCTGATTTTGCTCTACAATCACAGTGCTGGCCCTTTAAATGAACCCGACTGATTTGACCAGCTCTGGACTATCAGCAGAATCAGAAACAGACTGGCCTAGCAGGCCGGCCCGGTCCAAACGGGTTCTGCCACCCTCTGGGGGCCCTTAACCCGACCCAGATCTGGTTCTGGCTCGGTGAACCAGGTTGTCAGTTTCTAGAGCATTCAGCCATTTCACACTGGGTCATGGTTCTGACCCGGTTACCAGGTAAGATACAGACCACAGGAAGCCAGATGGTTCCACAACTCTTTATTTTTGACCTTCAGGTGAGTCTGATTCGTTTGCAGGAGGCCTCACCTGTTCCACTGGTTCCTAACAGATATCAGGTATCAAGAAGACACCACTCGGGCCCCGCCCACTCAGGCCCCGCCCACTCAGGCCCCGCCCACTCAGGCCCCACCTTCAATGTCAATCAGAACATGGAGGTGATGAGGTTCTGGTTCTGAACAGGTGAACTCATTCAGAGCTTAATTAGCAACAGCCAATCAGCAGCTTCCTGCTCTTCTACAAAATAAAAGGAGAATCAGAGTTCCATCTGGGTTTCAGACCAACAGAACGGGTCAGAACCAGAACCCAATGGGTCAATCATCCCTCAGAGTCAGAGCTGTGGGTGTCCAGAAAGGTCAGAGCCTCAGCTCACCTATTGGTCAAACCTGGAAGCAGGTCACCCTGCTCAGCGTCGGGTGGGGGCGGGGCTACCCTCAGATCAGCTCATTCATTGGTTAATTGATGGATCAGTTAATTAATTAATTGATTAATTGGAGTAAAGTGCAGCTCAGTGATCAGCTGACGGTCCGTAGCCTTCAGGTGGTGCCATGATGTCATCAGCTCACCTGAAAGCTCACGACGTGCCGAGGGGGGCGGAGCTTTGTTGCCCAGGTGAGTCACTGTCTGTACCTGAGCTCTGAGCAGCGGGGCAGTCTGTATGATAGGCGGGGCTTTCGGTAGGCTCCGCCCCTTGGTGCCTGCTATCATCAGGTGAGGCTTCAGCTCCGCCCCCTGGATCTTTATCCTCCAATGAGCCGTCAGGAGCGCCACTTGCTGCCCCTCCCATCCAGAACTCAACATTGATCTCCGCCGCCCCCGGACTTCCTCCCGAGTCGACGGAGGAGCCGAGCGCCTCTGTGATGACGGCAGCGGTCTGAGCGACCCAGTTAAGCTCCGCTCTGACCTCACCGGTTCCGCCCACCGCCACAGAGGATGACGGGAGCGGCTCGGCCGGCGGCGGCTCAGTGGTGCTGTCTGCTGACTGACCGGTCCCGGCGGGTTCTGGCCCAGCGGCGGCGGCATTGTTGTTGTTGAGGTTGTCCTGCAGAGCCGTCTGGTTCTGACCCGCCTGCTGGTTCTGGAGCAGCATCTCTTGAATCCGGATCTGCTGCAATATGGCAGGGAGCTCATAGTGGTGGAAGAAGTAGATCATCGAGTGCTGCAGGAAGACAGAAAACCAGCCAATCAGAGGCAAGCTGGGCAGGAAGGGGCGGAGCTTCATGGCTGACAGGAAGAAGAGGGACCTCACCTGGATGAAGAGCCAGGAAGTGACCAGAGCCAGGCTGCTGTACTGACCGTTGAAGCGGTAGTGGTAGGCATAGAAGGCGAAGTGGTACAGGTAGAAGAACCTGGACCCAACAGAACCAACAGAACCATCAGAACCAACCGAACCATCGGAGCCATTGGAACCAAATGGAACCAAATGGAACCGAATAAGTCCATTAAAACCAAACGTAACTTTGGGAACCATCAGAACTAAATGGAATTGTCGGAACTTAACGAAGCAACAGAACCATCAGAACCATCAGAACCAACCAGAGCCATCAAAACTTTCTCTTTCAGGAGGAAGAAATCAATTTCTGACATTTATCCGGACTGGACCAGATACTCGTTTCCACCTGACCAACCAGAATTCTGGATCAGGACATTCACCAGGTTTAGCACAAGTATGATAGGATGTGTCTTGACTGGAAGCTGACCAATCAGAGCAGGCTGTTTCTTGTTTCCTGCTGCTTCCTGTTTCTTGTTTCCTGCTGCTTCCTGTTTCTTGTTTCCTGCTTCCTGTTTGGGACTCACCGCAGCCAGTGGCGTTTGCTGGTGTTGGTGTGGCAGCAGATGGCATCGTATTGATCGGCCAGCCAGACGATCAGGATGATGTAGAAAGCCGTGGTCGTGTCGTTGAAAAACTCAGACATTATGGCCTCCATGCCTGCGAAGAAGAAGTGACATCACTGATATAAAATGAACAGAACCGTTTGTAAATCCAAACCGGATCAGAAGGAGAACCATTGCAGAACTCACCAACCAGGGCCAGGATGACGGTGAGCAGAGGGGCTGCTGGGAAAGCGATGGTCATGTTCATCTCCAGCATCTGCAGCAGATCCACTGAAACACACAGAGCAGGTTAGAACCGAACCGGGCCATACCGGGTCAGAACGGACCGAGCAGCGTAAACGAACCGATGAAAACGAAGATCTGGTGGTGGGAGTATCTGAGCAGCATCGACACCGACAGCGTCTGAAAGGCAGAACCAAGACCCGGCTTTATTTTGTGAGCGGTTCTGACTTCAAAAAGTTCTGTTGATCCGAGTTCTAAAAGAACTTTTTAAGCCGCCTGGAGCCGTCTAGTTCTAGTTCAAAGCTTTTTAATCTTAAACAGAAATCTTTTCCTTTTTCTCACAGAAAATGTATTTACTGAAATCTAGGGTGATAAATATCGAAATAAATGAGCTTTGAGTTTTGAAACTTTATCTAAATGAGATTTTTTTATACTTTGTTTATTGATTGTGTTAAAATCTGTTAAAATAATTAAGTCCTGCCAGAACTGTAAAGGTTCTCCCTCAATCTGTAGATTTAATCTGAACATGTATCACGTCCCATTAGGAACAGGAAGAAGAAATATTTATCAATTCCTGTCAGGAACAGGAAGTAGAAATATGTATCATTTCCAGTCAGGAACAGGAAGTATAAAATATGTATCATTTCCTGTCAGGAACAGGAACACTTCCTGTCAGGAACAGGAACACTTCCTGTCAGGAACAGGAAGTAGAAATATGTATCACTTCCTGTCAGGAACAGGAAGAAGAAATATTTATCAATTCCTGTCAGAAACAGGAAGTAGAAATATTTATCACTTCCTGTCAGAAACAGGAACACTTCCTGTCAGGAACAGGAAGTAGGAATATGTATCATTTCCAGTCAGGAACAGGAAGTAAAAATATCTATCACATTCCATCAGGAATAGGAAGTAGAAATATTTATCACTTCCTGTCAGGAACAGGAACACTTCCTGTCAGGAACAGGAACACTTCCTGTCAGGAACAGGAACACTTCCTGTCAGGAACAGGAACACTTCCTGTCAGGAACAGGAAGTAGAAATATGTATCACTTCCTGTCAGGAACAGGAAGTAGAAATATTTTCCATTTCTTGTCCGAAACAGGAAGTAGAAATATTTTCCACTTCCTGTCAGGAACAGGAAGTGGATTTGTGCATTTTGTGGTCCAGAATGATCTGGGGTCGTGTCGCTGCTGCAGACTCACGTTAAGTTTCACATGCAGCTTTTCAGGCTTCAAACATAAAGATTTAAAATTTTTATTATTTTGTGACGAATCAACAACAATCATGAGGTGAAATGAAATTATTGGATAGTTTAAACTTTAACTAATAAAAACATTCAAAGTGGGGCTTGCAATACTTTCGGCCTCCTTGCGTTAAGACTCTGTAGCGCCACCTGGTGGTGTGATTGCAGCTGCAGTGGACAGACTGACCTTCTGGCCCATTCTGCTGGAACCAGCTGGAGCTCAGTGCTGCTGGATGGAGTCGCTTGTGGACAGCAGTTTTCAGCTCTTTCCAGATTCTCCATTGGATTCAGGTCTGAACTTTGACTAGGCCGTTCCACTCATGAACCGTTGCGTTGTGGTTTGGGACGGTTGTCTTGTTGGAAGGTAAATCTTCCTCCCAGTCTTTAGGGTTTCTTCAGGTTTTCTTCCTGAATGGTTCCGTATTCAGCTCCATCCATCTTCCCTGCCGAAGAAAAGAAGCCCAAACCATGACGCTGCCACCACCATGTTTGACAGGGGATGAGCTCCTTCCTGCAGGTTTGAGGCTTGTGGTGAACTTTAAACCCAACTATTAATGGATCTCTTTGGGAAATGTCTTTGTTCTTGCCACTCTGCCATCAAGGCCAGATTTGTGCCACATTCTCTCCCCCTCAGCTGTAGATCCAGAGTGATCCTGTAGATCCAGAGTGATCCTGTAGATCCAGAGTGATCCTGTAGATCCAGAGTGATCCTGTAGATCCAGAGTGATCCTGTAGATCCAGAGTGATCCTGTAGATCCAGAGTGATCCTGGCCTCCTGGCTGCATCTCTGATCTTTCTTCTCCTTGTTCCAGAGGAAAGTTTGGCAGGTCTTTGGTCGGACGCTCCTTCCGTTTCAACGCGATCGATCGCCTGCTCTGTGATCCTCCAGATGTCTGAAGCGTTTTGTATCCAAATCGGGCTTTAAACTTCTCCAGCAGTATCGGATCCGCCTGGATCATCCAAACTGAGCCTCTGAGTGAATCTGCTGCCCTGAAGGACCAATGATATCACACGCCTCACTTTGCAGTTTTTATTAAGTTTTAAAATATCCAATAAATTTTGTTCCACCTCATGATTGGTGTTGATTCGTCACAAAATAATAAACATTTTGATCTTTATGTTTGAAGCCTGAAAAGCAGCAAAAGGTTGGAAAGTTTTCCCACGGCGCTGTAGGAACAGACAAACATGGCCGACACTTTGGCCATGATTCTAGTCACTTTCATTTTAGTAGTTCATCTCATTTTTATTCAGTTGCAGTTTTAATTCAGCTATACTTTTTATGGAGTGATTGTTTTCCCCTCTTCCAGGTTCTTGTTGGTAAAAAAAGTCAAAGACTAAATATTTCCAGCAGCATTTTAATGAAAGAACTAAAAGTAAACTTACAAATATGACCATGATGACGAAGGCAGCCAGGTACGACGTTCTGGCCATCCACATGCTGACAAAGCGGTAATGTTCTCCAGACACCACGTTCCTCAGGAAGCCTGCGGAGAACCGCAGAGCGACCGTCAGCCGCCTCTACCTGCTGCAGGTGGATTTCACACGTGTGGTCAGAGTGGGCGGAGCCTGGGTACCTTTGTTCTCCTCGTTCTCAGCGAGCGCCTTGACACTCGACATCAGGATGTCGTCGTAGCCCAGGAACTCGTCCAGCAGGAAGCGACTGAAGCCGTCTCCGAAGCACTCGTCCTTGGTGGGATCTGCACAGAACGTGGAGAGGTCAGCGGGGTCAGCGGGGTCACGAGACGTGGCGGCCCGCCGAGACGTGGCGGCTGACCCAGAGTGACGACCATGACGGGGATGTTGAGCCTCTGCCTGGTGCTCTGCGACAGCCGCAGGAAGCCATACTCCAGGGAATACTCCACGATGTACTCGTCCTGCGGCCACACTGGAACCACGACAACGAGAACAGCAGGGTGTGAACAACAAGCTGAAGGAAACAATCAGCCGCAGAAAGACCCTCCATCAACTCAGGAGAAGGAGTCTAAGTGAGGGGGAGGAGTCACAGAAGGCAACGGTGGGTTTACCTGCTCTGGTCATCATCTCCAGCTCAGACACTGAGTCCTGCAGCGGCTGCATACCTTTAGAGGCGGGGCTAAACGACACGTCCTGGCTGTCATTGGCTCCTCCTCTAGGGCCTCCTCCAATCACAGACGGCTGGAGACGGGGCTCAATGTCCAGTTCAAACTGCAGACAGGTGAGGACACAGACAGGTGAGGACACAGACAGGTGAGGACACAGACAGGTGAGGACACAGACAGTAACTTACCTGCACTGAGCTGTTTTCAAACACTGTCATCTCATCGTCCTCTTCTTCCTCGTCTCCCAGGCTGATCCCGGCCACTGCGGCTCCTCCTGGTTCGGCCTGCAGCTCCCCCTGGAGGCCGGCGGAGTCGTAGTGCTGCAGGAAGACGGCGGCGCGACTGGAGTTCCTCTGGATCTCCACCCTCAGGATGCCATCGCGTGGCCAGCGATCTCTCACCGCCTCCAGGCAGTTGATGGGGGAGCGGGAGAAAGCGATGTGGATGTAGGCGAGGATGAAGAGAACGAAGAGCGCCTGATGCAGAGGGAGGGACAAGAGGTTAGCCAATCAGGAGCTGGTAAACCTCCAGCTGTTCTAACAAACAGATCCTCGTCATTGTTGAAGGGTTGTAAGGATTCTTCCACCCACAACGCTCTGCAGACCAACTTTCAGCTTCAACAGGAAGAGGATGAAAATGAGCTGTGGCAGGACGCAGCAGGACACTTTGAATACACACGGTTCACCGATGCTCCAGCAGCGGCTGGCAGACATTTCAGAGACGTTTCAGAGACAGCTGGGTTTCAAATATTTTTTTAACCCTTTCTTGAATCCTTATTTTGTTCAGCTAATTTTAACTTATGCGGAAGAAAAATACAAATTTGGGTATCCTCAATTCCCGTGTCCAAACCAAAACCCCAAAGTGTGATGAGAAGGTTAGTGGGTTAGTGGTTTAGTGGGTTAGTGGTTTAGTGGGTTAGTGGTTTAGTGGGTTAGTGGTTTAGTGGGTTAGTGGTTTAGTGGGTTAGTGGGGGGCGGATCCACATCCGAACGGCAGCCTCTTTACAGATTGGAGGAACAGCGCCGGGCTCAAAGCCATCAGATGTTAATCAGAAAATATCGGAGATGATCTAAACTCCAGAATATATTGAAGGAACGGAGAAAATCATTTTACTGGAGTCTATAAAGAAAACAGCAGAAAAAATAAGCAAAAATAATTAGAATGTGTCTGAAGCTCATAACAGCTGCAGAGACAACAGAGTTTCAGCTCCTACAGGTCAAACTGTGTAACTGCAGCATGCAGCTTTAGACAGCTGTCGTTGCTGACCAGAACCAGATCAGAACCACCCGACCCGGTCCAGGTGGGACGTCTCACCTTCAGCAGGACGAAGAACTCAAAGACTCTCCTGAAAGACGGCGGGAAGAGCCGGGCGTAAGTGACGGCCATCTTGAAGAAGAGGGCGTGGAAGAGGCGGTCGCGCACATTGATGAGCGGGTTCTGGTTGATGTTAGGGTTCCGGATCCGGTTGGGCCCCATGTTGTTGTTCAGAGGAACGTTGTTGTTGTTGGCCTGGTTCTCCGACATGGCGGCGGCGGCTGCAGAACTCTGGTGCTCCCAAAGCCGTTCCTAGGTCAGCATGGTTCTGGTTCACTTCATGAAGGTGACTCAGATCCAGTTCCAGCAAGACCGACCCGGAACCTGGATCCACCTGGAAGGTTCAAACACAGGGCAGTTATTTACTGACTGGGTTCTGGTTCTGGTTGGCTGTGATGCTTTTGTCACATTTTTTATTTTCAGCTCCAGTAAAAAAATAAACCTGAACTGGAAATCCAAATCCTGAAGACTGGTTCTGGAAGAATGACCTCTGACCCTGACTGGTTCATCTCGCCGTTACCATGGAGACATGAACGTGTTCCTTGGTTAAATGTTCTGGTTGCTATGGTGACCATGAAACAAGTGATGGTTGGCTGATTGCGCTGCTAAGGTGATTTAAGAGGGCGTGGCCTGGAAGCTGATGGTTTGTACCAATGTTCTAGAGCCAGAGCCCAGTTCTGGACAGGTTCGGATCGGTTTGTCCCAGGGACACCCAGAACCCGGACCAGAACCGGTCGATAAACGCATCTGGATCAGAGCCGCTGCTGGTTCTGGTGGGTTCGCCGTGGTTCTGCTTACCTGGCCAGGTGTCAGGGGGTCTCAGGTGTTTAGAATCGGGACGTTGTTCCATCAGGTGAGGATTTCAGGTGTTCTTCAGAGTCTTCTGCTCAGGTGTGCAAGGGGCAGTGGGTGCGGGAGAGGCAGGGGTCAGGGGTCACCGCTGGGTGTTAGGGGTGTAACACCCGTGCTGACCCTCTGACAGGTCAGAACGGAGACCTGTAGGTGCGTCACACTCACCTGTCAGCGAAGTTTTCCTCGCGATGTTTTCATCGGCAGGAAGCTAGCTGTTAGCTCGATGCTAAATGGAAGGACCGGACCAGAAGCTCGACAAAGCCCCGTGTTAGCGCTCAGCTGCGGCTCGGAACCAACGGAGGAGCGGCTTCAGGCGGATCCAGAGGGCAGAGGAGCCGCTCAGAGAGTCCGGGAGGTGAGATCCGCTCCGAGCAGCAGCTCCAGCTAGCGGCTCCAGCTAACGGCTGCTGCTATTGCAGAACCACAGCCGGAAGTACGGGTCCTCGCAGCGGAAAGAGCTGAGTGTGCCCTGAGCGCTGCCTGACAGGCGGCGGGAAACGTTATTCCCGAATTGGACTGATCGGAAGTTTTTAACGCAGTTATTGCGAGTGGTGACCCAGAAATTAACCCTGAGCGCTGCCTGACAGGCTTACACAATGAGCTCTGATCAGGTTACCATGGGTTACTGCTCACTGGAGGTCTGCTGCTCTAGATCACCTGCTCTAGATCTGCTGCTCTAGATCACCTGCTCTAGATCTGCTGCTCTAGATCACCTGCTCTAGATCTGCTGCTCTAGATCTGCTGCTCTAGATCTGCTGCTCTAGATCTGCTGCTCTGGATCTGCTGCTCTAGATCTGCTGCTCTGGATCTGCTGCTCTAGATCTGCTGCTCTGGATCTGCTGCTCTGGATCTGCTGCTCTAGATCTGCTGCTCTGGATCTGCTGCTCTAGATCTGCTGCTCTGGATCTGCTGCTCTAGATCTGCTGCTCTGGATCTACTGCTCTGGATCTGCTGCTCTAGATCTACTGCTCTGGATCTGCTGCTCTAGATCTGCTGCTCTAGATCTACTGCTCTAGATCTGCTTCTCTGGATCTGCTGCTCTAGATCTGCTGCTCTGGATCTACTGCTCTGGATCTGCTGCTCTAGATCTACTGCTCTGGATCTGCTGCTCTAGATCTACTGCTCTAGATCTACTGCTCTGGATCTGCTGCTCTGGATCTGCTGCTCTAGATCTGCTTCTCTGGATCTGCTGCTCTAGATCTGCTGCTCTAGATCTGCTGCTCTAGATCTGCTGCTCTAGATCTGCTGCTCTAGATCTGCTGCAGCGTGTTGCGGACAATGAGGCGCCGTCAGGCTGGAAGAACGTCTTTATTGTGACTCTTCATGCAGCAGCATCATCATCATCCTCACACGGCGTTACAGATGGAAACAGGATGAGATCACATGCAGCAGCAGGGACGCCTTGTCCACCTGTCCCCAGGGAGGTGAAGACGGACAGGTGGACGGGCTGAGCCCCGCCGCGAAAAGCAGCTTCACAATAAATCACTAGAGAACCACAGTCACGTGACTCAGGCCGAGCCGATCGACATCCGGCACCGAGCGCATTACCACAACCAGACGTTACCGTAGCGACCGAGCCGTTGCCCTGGCAACAAAGTCGTTGCCGTGGTGACATTATGATGTCATGAATGTGTTTGAGTTTATGTGTGAAGTTAAAGGAACATTTCTCCTCTGCATCAGTCGCCATGGCAACAGGCCCATCCAGGCAGGTGAGGGGTCACCTGTGGTCCCACTGCCATCTGCAGAAATGCACCACGACCGCTCAAACTACCAATGAGAGCCAGAGAGAGGGTCGTAGCGTTGCCAATCATGGTCACGAACATGCTGCTCATACCCTGCCTTGAACCTAAATGAATGTTATCATGGTGGCTATGCTAGCTGCATTGATGGCAGTGCATACACTCGAGTGATTGACAGCCGTACTACCCACCTCCTGGCTGTGATTGATAGTTTCTAACTGAGTAGTGTATTCTGTAGTTAGCACTGGGAACACTGGGAACACTGGGAACACTGGGAACACTGGGAACAGGCCGAGATTATCTGATGACAGTTTGAACAAAAACAGAAAAAAACAAACATTTTATTAAAGTTACAAACTGCAGCTTTAAGCTACTCATCATTTGGATCCAGAGTTCTGGTTCTGGTTTGCTCCACTTCCAGAGGAAATCATTTAGATTTCTGGATGTGACCTTTGACCTCAGACGCTGTTGATGGACGTTTCTATGTGTGAAAAGTCCAATACTGTGTCCAGATGTTGTACCGTCACCAAGGCCACCAGGCCAATAACTTTAACTGCAATAAAGCTAACAGATCCCTCGCTGACATCACTTCCTGTTAGCAGAGAAAAACAAAGCTGCTGCTGGTATCGTGACCCCGCTGACCCTGAAGTTCAGCTGCATTTGGTTCCAGTATGTTGGTCTCCAATATCGCAAAGGCGTTTCTGAGTCGATAACATTGAAACATTTTGCTGCCAACATTCATCATTTTTTCACCTGCTGGCAAAACAAACGATGCTCAGTCGAGCTGCTAACGTAGCAACACATGCTAACGTCAGTTTCAGTCAGAACCAAGCGGCCAATCAGGAGCAGCTCATGTCTGCATGACTCCTTCATGTCTCATTATTGGACAAATATGTTTTTATCAGCTAAAAGATTTTCTGTCAAATTATAAACCTGTTAGCTTTAGTGCTGTTAACATGGCCAAAACCCAGGTGTCTCTGTCCCCTCCAGGTGTCTCTGTCCCCTCCAGGTGTCTCTGTCCCCTCCAGGTGTCTCTGTCCTGTCCAGGTGACTCTGTCCCATCCAGGTGTCTCTGTCCCATCCAGGTGTCTGTCCCCTACAGGTGTCTCTGTCCCCTCCAGGTGACTCTGTCCCGTTCAGGTGTCTCTGTCCCGTTCAGGTGTCTCTGTCCCATTCAGGTGTATCTGTCCCCTACAGGTGTCTGTCCCCTCCAGGTGACTCTGTCCCGTTCAGGTGTCTCTGTCCCGTTCAGGTGTCTCTGTCCCATCCAGGTGTATCTGTCCCCTCCAGGTGTCTCTGTCCCCTCCAGGTGTCTCTGTCCCGTTCAGGTGTCTCTGTCATGTTCAGGTTTCTCTGTCCCCTCCAGGCGTCTCTGTCCCATCCAGGTGTCTCTGTCCCCTCCAGGTGTCTCTGTCCCCTCCAGGTGTCTCTGTCCCGTCCAGGTGACTCTGTCCCATCCAGGTGACTCTGTCCCGTCCAGGTGACTCTGTCCCATCCAGGTGTATCTGTCCCCTACAGGTGTCTCTGTCCCGTTCAGGTGTCTCTGTCCCGTACAGGTGTCTCTGTCCCGTTCAGGTGTCTCTGTCCCGTTCAGGTGTCTCTGTCCCCTCCAGGTGTCTCTGTCCCGTCCAGGTGTATCTGTCCCCTCCGGGTGTCTCTGTCCCGTTCAGGTGTCTCTGTCCCGTTCAGGTGTCTCTGTCCAGGTGTCTCTGTCCCCTCCAGGTGTCTCTGTCCAGGTGTCTCTGTCCCGTCCAGGTATCTCTGTCATGTTCAGGTGTCTCTGTCCAGGTGTCTCTGTCCCGTCCAGGTGTCTCTGTCCCCTCCAGGTGTCTCTGTCCAGGTGTCTCTGTCCCGTCCAGGTCTGGTCCTGATGTCTCAGGGTTAGGGTTTGGCTCCCTGTAAACTCTTGTAGTAGTTTTCCTGTTCAGTCTGGTTGCGGATTTCTCGATCCAGCAGAACTAGCACCGTTTTGCGTCTCATGGCCATTTCCTTAGGCTGAGCGTCCGCCACCATCTCCGCTAGGTGGGCGGGGTCGGCGGCAGGTGAGGCGGAACGGCGCGGGCAGAAGCTGCTGGCGCGGGCCGTCGGGTCCGACCCGGTCAGCCTGTTGAGGCCGTAGGATTCTCGTGGGTCGTCTCCATTGGACGCCGCGGCCCAATCCCAAGGGTTTCCGTTCCCGGCCGGGGCGAGTGGAGGGGGCGGAGTTTGCACAACAGGACGGTAGGCGCCGTGGGCGTCCACGGTGACGATGCCCGGCCCGTCTCGCTGGCGACAGGAATCGGTGTTGGAGGAGGCGCTCTCAGAGGAGGAGGAGGGAAGCAGACCCTGCTGCTTGGACAAGGCGATGACCTGCATGAGGCGCGGCTGGCCGGCAGCGGAGAGACCAGCGGCCTCTCCGCTCGTCTTCTCACGGATGGCGAGCCACTTGGCCCTGGTCAAGGCGCTCTTTGGGGACACTGGTGGGGGTCCGGCTTCAGGGAGCTGAGGCGGTCTGGGTGTTGCCACAGCTTTGGCACCGCCCGGAGGAGGAGTGGGGTTGCGACCCGAGGCCACCCTCATGCAGCGCACCGAAGCTTGGTAGATAGGCGCCTGAGAACCGGCATCATCCGTCCCCATAGAGCTCGCCTCGGAGCCGTCCTCGCTGGTCTCGCGGTCCCCGTCCTCACAAGGGCCACGCATCTCCATGGACTTCTGCTTCCACTCTGAGACCAGCTGCTGGGATCTCATGGGGTCCACCGGGACCTGCACCGCCTTCAGCCGCCGCTGCACCGCCGCGGCCGGGGCTCCTGGCGCCACGCCGGCACCCGCAGGGCCGTTGATGTTCACACTTGTTCTGGGCAGGGTGTTGCTGAAGGTCAGCATGGTCTCCTTCCCCATGGGGCTCCGAGGGATCAGCAGCTCCACGTCCACGCTGGCCCTCTTCAGGCCCTCCACAGAGCCCTGCTCCCTCTGCAGCGGCCCCAGGGCCTCCATGCCCTCCAGGGGCGCGGGCGCCGCCGCGATCTCGTCGTTGCTCTCCGAGGCCGAGGCGGGACCCTTGTTGTACACCGAATCGTGTCCGCGCTCCGCCAGCGCCCGCAGCGGGTCCTCCACAGGCAGCGGAGGAGACGGAGCCTGAGCGCAGTCATCAGAAGACCTGAAGTTGGCGACGGCGTGAAGCGCCTGGAGACGGGAACAAGAGCG